GGATACTGTACTCTCCAACTACGCCTGAAACTGTCTAAAGCTCTATTCATGCCTTCCTCACTGCCGGCATATACAATCCTTTTCCAAGACGCCATGATCAGATCCACTGTCGGTTGGGCTGCATCTATCCCACAATGAGACGTCCTCCTCACCTCCGTTAGACACCGTGCTCTCACATTCCTGTCTACATGCCAAAGGCATAGTATATGAGTCGATGATGGAAACATTACCCCCACGGTCTCAACCAATCCTCCTGCTTTGGCACTAACAAATACATCTGGAGTGATAGGGCCAAGCAAATGTTGCAGATGCGTGAGAAGCCACTGGTACGACTCTTTTGTATCGTCATACACTAGCGCAGATGCAATGACAAAGTTCAATCCCACCGGTGTCATGCCAACAATCTCAACCCATGGAAACTCATACTTGTTGGTCTTGTATGTTGCATCTATCACAATGACATGGTGCCAAGCTCGCAACATCAATATTGACTCAGGGTGGGCTAGGAACAAGTGTGTAAGCACGTTACGGTCATCCACATACTGCACATAGTAACCCTTCTCCAGAGCATCTTGAAAAGTGTACTGTAAGGCCGTCCTCTGACCAAGCTCTTCTTTTCTTATCTTATACAATGCGTTAGAAATCTGTCTTTTGTTCACCTTTCCATGCTCCCCTTTTCTCTCGTTCACTGCCTTGTGGATATTCCTTGGGGCGACACCGGCTAATCTCAGTTGTCTGATGTATTGCTTATCATCTTCGGTCAAAACATTCCTCTTACTTGATCCATTCGGAAATAGCTCCAGCGGATGATTGTGAAAACCCAAATTAGCACCAGGATTCTTTCTATTAGCCACTGCTAGTATCAACCAATATCCATCATCTGACCGCTCAATCTTGATATGAAATTCACACCCCAACTTTCCAGAAGAAGTAAGAGGCCTCCTTTCCTTAGCCGGATCAGAATCAGGATCCTTCGAATTTTTCTTCCTACCATGAGTGCACTTCAAGTATCGTCGCCTACTATCTTCACTTGGATTTTTTTTATTTGATGCCTTCACCAAATAAAACCCAAAACCCTTGGCAATCTCAGTAGCTGCTGCATATGCAATCAAATCTGTATCGTATTTTACTCCATTGACGAATTCTGAGATGTAATCTTTGCCATCCCCTCCGTAATCATCAATATCCTACAATGTTAGATCTCATGATATAAGTAGGACTCCACAATAATAGAAAATCTAACGACTACATTTAATTTAATAATTATCACAAATAATTTAGCATTCTCTATATTATCCTAAGCAAAATCCAACATTTAACACGACAAAATTTAGCATTCTCTATTATTTACATACTATACATCTAATGTAAGAATCATATTAATCACATTCTATAATTTTTTTATTGCGTATTATGCATCTAATCTTAATTTTGTATAAAAAACAATCAATTTCACAAATAATTAGGCTCATAAATTTTAAAAATAATATAAACTAAAATTCAATAAACAATCTTATAGACCAAACTATAAATGATAACAATAAAATAGAAATATTTGATATAAACTTAAAAAAACCCAAAAACCACCAATAGAAGCAAATTTTCGGTTCAACCATGGCTAAACCTAACCAAATTTTCGGTTTCACCATGGCCAAACCGAAATAAAGGTTCGGTGCCACCGTGGACCAACCGAAAAAAATTTTCGTTTCACCCATGGCACAAACGTAGCAGATTTTCGGTTCATCCATGGCTCAACCGAATGTGATTTTCGGTTGGTCCATGGTTCAACCGAAACCGAGTTTCGGTTGAACCATGGACCAACCGAAAATCACATTCGGTTGGGTTTTTTTTTTTTTTTTAAAAACGAGATTTTTACTTCGTCGGAGTCGCTACTCATTGTTCGGACGTATGCTCGACGATTTCGGCTTCCAAATGTCGATGATGAATTCGAGAGTGTGGGAGAATGAGTGTTTTTTGTTTTCTAAGTGAATGTGGTGTTTGTTTGCTAAAGGAAAGGTAAAGATGTCAAAAGGTTAAAAGTGTAACTTTGTTGTTTTTTAGGACGATCATTAGTAATTGTTAGGACGACCTTTATCAACTCCCTTATAAATCGTCTCTGCTCTTTTCCCGCCGGAGTTCTGGTTTCGGCGCCGGGGCCCCTCGATTGACAACGTCGACTCGATCTGGAATTTGTAGGAGGTCCGGTGGTGACCGTCGCGGTGACACAACAGCCGGCCAGAGAATGGTACTATGGCGCGGCAATGATGGCTGCATTGATGGCGATGGTAGCGGAGGCAAGGGTGGCCTGGCGATTGGTGACGACCAGGACCGGGACAAGGTAGTCAATATTGATGGGTTACGGAACCCATTGGCTGATCGACGGAAGGCCGTACTGATGGCGGCGACTGGTGTGAGGATCCATGGCAATGGCTTCTTCCAATTCTTCTTCTTCTGCTGCTGTAGAAGCCAGAATCCTCCTCTGGATTTGATAGTGTGATTGATAGCGGAAGATTGAGAGAATGGTGACTCGAATGGCTGAATCATTGATGGTGGGAGCTTGTCTGAAAGGCAACTGGGATTGTCGTTCTTAGATGGATGGCGGAAGCATGATTGAAGAGGAGCAGCCTGGAGAGTGCTCGCTCATGATTGACTGGTATGAAGAAAACTGATTTACTGGAAACTCGAAGGAATGTATGAATGAAAGTTTGAAAGAAAAGGTTTGGAAAACTCTCAACAGATTTGTTTCTTCCTTTTCTTCTTCTTGGGCAGTCCCTGATTCAGAATCCAGCTCTGATACCATGATGAATTTGGTTGAAGCAAACTTTGAGTATTGCTATTGATTGAATGCTTGATTCGTTACAGAATGTTTCCTACTCTACTTATACATGAGGAAAGATAATAAACAATAAGAAGGAACATGCTGAAAGTATGGGTGTTGCCAGGAGTAGTATGGATTGTCTAGAAGTAGCATGGGACTCCTGGAGTGGCATGGGTATTCTGTTGCAGTTGTTGTCTGGTAGAGATGAATAAATGGTGATGGTATGGTGGATAGTGGTGAATGTTGTAGCTATCATTGATGATTTCCTTCAATTATTGATATGTTTATCAGTGTAACTAAAATATCACCCATAGTCTTGCCATTTTTACTGCTGAGCATTTTTTCCCTTAAATCGCGTACTGCACCCTTGTATAGATTGTGACATCAACCCCTTCTCTGCACAGACACATTTTGGCTTAATTGCAAGTTTGGTCACCCGAATTGCTTAAAAATTTCACGTTTGCCACCCGAATTGATTTATTCCATTTATAGTCACTCGAATTAGCTGAACAGTCCAAGTTCGGTCACTCTCCGTTAATCTCCGTTAGACTCCGTTAATGACGACCGTTAAATGATGACGTGGCTAACAGAAAGACACAGTCAGCACATTTAAACATTAAAAAACGACGACCCGACCCGACCCGACCCGCCAGCTCAGCCTTACCCGCCCAGTCAGCCATTCTTGCCCAACCCGCGAACCAACCCAATTAATTGACCCTAAACCCAAACCCAAACCCAAGACCCAAACCCCCCTGAAAAATAAATCGCAGATGGATTAGGGCATTTCCCTTCCTCCATCTTCATCCTCTCATCCTCCGGCGCCGCCTCTCTCCTCTCATCCTCCTCGCTCGTCAACGATTACAACCGTCGGTCCCCTAATCGGAGCAGCATCCGCAGCTTCTTGGCTCGCCGGGTTTCGACGCATTCCATCTCGAAAGTCGCCGGGTCAATCGAGTCCGAAATCCGGGCCTGGAAATCGGTACGATTGCTCTGCTCTCTGATCAAATTGATCAGATCGCCGCTCGTCGACGAAATCGAGTACAACGGCGAGATCCCGAGGATCATTCGGCTGCTGGACTGTAAAGATCAGGAGACGAAGGTTATGGCGATGGATTGCGTGCTGGAAATGGGGTATTTTGGGAGGAAGGAAGCCATCGACGCGATGCTTGGAGAAGGGTTGATCGAGAAGCTGTTGGAGCTGCAGAGATCGGAATTGGGCGGGGATTTGATCGGGATGGAGAGGTTCGACTCTGACTCTGAATTCGACTCTGATTCCGACGGCGGCGTAGAAGGGCAGAAGAAGAAGAAGAAGAGGAAGGAGAAGGGGTTTTTGGAGAGGCACCCGTTTGCGAGCTGCGTGGCGAGATTCGCCGTGCAGTTGGAGGTCGGAGAAGGGCTGCGGCAGAGGAAGAAGAGGGCTCTGAAGCCGGAGATTCTGCGGTGGGTGAAGGAAGGCTGCGTCTCCGACGCCGAAGCCGCCACCATTGTCGCCGAAGTTCTCTGGGGATCCTCGCCGTGAATAAGTAAAGGAGAGAGGCGGCGCAGGAGGATGAGAGGATGAAGATGGAGGAAGGGAAATGCCCTAATCCATATGTGATTTACTTTTCAGGGGGGTTTGGGTCTCGGGTTTGGGTTTAGGGTCAATTAATTGGGTTGGTTCGCGGGTTGGGCAAGAATGGCTGACTGGGCGGGTAAGGCTGAGCTGGCGGGTCGAGTCGGGTCGGGTCGTCATTTTTTAATGTTTAAATGTGCTGACTGTGTCTTTCTGTTAGCCACGTCATCATTTAACGGTCGTTATTAACGGAGTCTAACGGAGAGTGACCAAACTTGGACTGTTCAGCTAATTCGAGTGACTATAAATGGAATAAATCAATTCGGGTGACAAACGTGAAATTTTTAAGCAATTCGGGTGACCAAACTTGCAATTAAGCCGACACATTTTGTTACAACTTTGTAACGGCTCAGGTTGTTATTTTGGGCTTTGGTATCATCAATCCATAACCTCCACATAACAAACTGAAAACAAAAAAACAAAAAAAAAGATAAAGAGGAAAAATCACACACAAGGCTCATGATGAGCTCATTAGCCTAAACGCCACAAATGCTTCCCCACACCCACACACACACACTATCCATGTGACATGCCCAACTATATATGAAGGCAAAGGGTATAGCAATCCTCTCCCACCAAATCTAAACCAAGAAAGGAAAGAATCCCAGACAGGGGAAGAAAACCACATCTCAAAGTCTTAGAACAATGGAGAAGTTGGCCAAATTTGGTAAGAAGTTGAAGCAAATGATGAGGTTCTTCACCAAGAGCTGTGAGCAAAATGATGCAGTTAGCTCGTCGTTGTTGTCGTCGTCACCTCCTCGAGCTGTTCGTTGCGAGGAGTTGTTCGTATCGAAAAGAGGGAAACATAGTAATGATGGAAGAGATGGTCATGATCCATTTCTAGCTGCTCTTGTTGCAGCTCAGAATCACTTCAGTCTAAGACCAAACATTTACATTTGACATATATATAAACGAAATGAAATGAAATGCTCTGGGAGATGTTTTTCCATATTGATTCTGCTTCAGTATTCAATGGAAATTTGAAATCTTTTGTATGTTACAGATGTACAAAAAAGAAGTAAAGTTTGCAGCTTTTTTACAATATCAATGGAGCTTGAAGAAGTCCATGACTGGACCATACACCACACTATGAGCATTCACACCAAAGACGAAATCTACATGAGCATAGGAGTCCACGAAATGGAGCACCAGCTTGCTTTCATCATGATCTTTCAGGTTGTCTATGAGGATTGCCATGTCATCTACATCGGCGAGCATGTCTTTGCCTCCATATGCAAGGAAGAGAGGGAAAGAAGGTTGAATCTTGGACATGGTGTAGGTAGGTGGAGTTGGCTGGTGATAGTGGTCCATGTTGTCTGCTTCATTTCCATAGTCAAACTTCGCTATGTTTCCAGTTCTTATCACTGTTCATAGAAAAGAAAGTCAAGTATTTGGTTACAGAACAATTCGAGGTGTGTTTATCGACTGAGAGAGAAAAATAGAGAGTTACTTTGGGAGAGATGGACTATGTTCTTCACTGATGTTGGTTGAGGCTGATTGTTGAGGAATTGGTCGACCCTCGACGCATTCACGCAACAACTAGGACCTGTGGTGGAGATAGATTACCAAGGTTGGAATATGTGATTGATATAATGTGTGTAGTTTGAAATGAGTTGATTGTTAGAATGCAATGATTTGAAATTGTGACAACAAATACATATGAAATGCATGTATTGCTAAAGATTATGTGCGAGGAAATTATGTATTGTCTGAAATTCATGCATTCTCGGGATACACCTTTCTATATTATGAAAACTGACAAGTTTGCAAGTGAAGTTACCTGTCATAGCAGCTACCAAGTCAGTGCAGTTGATTCCAGGTTTACTACAGACAGAATCTAGGAACTTGGTAAAAGCCAGCCTGTTTTTTACAGAAAATGAGATGACAAATAGTACTGGTTAACGAGTGGTGTACCAATAATCATGTTAATTTAGAGATTCCCCTATGGTATAATTTCTCCTTACCCTCCTTTCAGAAATTCCCTGTATCCTAGCTTATATATGTCCTGTCCCAAAATGCAATGCCAAAACATGGTAAAAGAGAGTGAACACATTTGCAGATCATGATTAAGCACTTCGAAAGAATCGATGAAATCTCAGACCTCGGGCAAGTACATATCAGCAGCGATTTTCGAAGGCGAAGTGATGTGGTTAAGATGAGCAATGGGACAAAGCAAAGCTGCTGATCTTGTCATGTTCAACAAGTCCCCTTCTGCAAATGCAGCCAATGCTGTCAAAGTCCCCTGACAAACACAAATGAAGAGGGTTTATTTCCTTAATTATCATTAATTTCAAGAAATCATTAATTAACAAAACAAAATGGATTGATTAAGGATGTTTAATCAACTCACCAAGGAATGTCCGATGTAGTGATGTTTCTGTTGTCCCGTATGATCATATACATATTGGAACACAGCAGGAAGGTCATAATCTGCTAGCTCTTCCCATGACCATTCCCAGTAAGCCTGCATGCAATTAAAACATAATTAGCAGATGAACTCCACATTTCATTGATTAGAATTAGAATTGAAAACTAAGGCCAGATTGTTAAGTTAATTACTCCATCATTAGGGCTCAATGATGTGTGGCCTTGGCTGTGTATCGTCCCACGAGTGTTGGCAATCCAAACATCGTAACCATCATCGACCAACAAGAATGGCAGAGATTCTGCAGGGGAATTAAGCATCCATGTTGCACCATCCTGCCATGGAAATTTACAGTGGTAAAATAAATCTCATGTTGGTATTATGTCTAAGCAATGTGAGCAAGTTTGAAAAGGTTCTACTAACACTGAACAATCCGTGTTGGATAAGGACTGGTGGTTTATAAGCTTTCTTGCCAGACTTAGCTACTTGCATTCTCTGAATCCCAAGTATGTAACCATCTTCTGTTGTCACCTGAAAAATAGATCAGCAAACCAGAAGCAAAACTTAGAAACTCGAGAATCAGTTCAGCCATAAATTGTTGATAATTTGCATAGGTTATCAGAACTCTCGAACATGAACATTTTGGTCATCGAACACTCTGCTGCCATATAGACAACCGGTTCTTCTCGATGAGTCGAGTTAATTCGAAGAAAACTAGAAGGAAAACAAGGACTTTACCTGATGTTCTTCACATGCATAGCCTTGCGATTCGACCATCGATTGGCAAATGCCGCCATCATCAACCCAATGAGCCATAGATTTTGAACCCTCACTGTTGCCTATATAAAGCTTAGTTCTTGTTGCAAAACATGTAGAGGCTGATAACAACAGAACCACCAGAACTGAAACTGCAGAAGTCCTAGCCATATTTCGATTACTTTAATGACCAGTTAACAACCTTACTAAGTGATAATAAACTTGCTAAACCATATTATCTTATATAGTCACCTCCTTGAACAAGATACAAACAAAAGAGTGACATGAAGGTTCATCAAAGGATTTTACTTAATTAATTATTGTATCATGTATCCATACCAAAGTCTGCATTTCCAAGGCCTCAAACTTGGTATTTTATGATGGTCGAGACAAATTAGAAGCAAAAGATTCCAAGGAAGCTCTTTCTCTATGTCTTATAATGTCCTAGAAATTTATGGTGATGTTGATGTGCAAGGAAACGGGCAGGGGAAGGATATGTTGGGAGAAGACAAACTAATAGCAAACTTGTTCATATATGGTATAAAATAGAGAAGTGATTGTGATAGTGACATCTCTTATGTCTAGACAAAGGTGGGAACATGTGGTTTAGTAACTTGGCGGTAACATCTACATAGATGGTGGAGTGTGAATATGATTCGTTTGTATTGCAACTTACAAAGGTTTTTGTTCATTGCAATTCATATTTCCATTGGTAGAGTTGATTGAAATCTAGTCTCATCGGGTAAATTGATTTTTTTCTCTTCTCTCGAGTTGTTCAAAAATTAATTATTCGTTTCTGCTTAACCAATACAATTAGCCCGTAATATGATTGATTCAAAACTCGATTGACTTGTAATCTAATTGACTCGTAATTCAGTGACAATTAATTTAATCAAACACATCCTAATTTGATCCAATACACGTATTTGATACTTCTTGGAATCTAAGATTCTTAAAAATTTGTCTCAAAATCTATTAATATACCCACTTTTTCACAATTTATTCACAAAAAATGACAACAAGATACGATATAATACAATGGACCTTTGCAGGTCAATCAAAAATAGAAGAAAGATAGGGTTGTTGGTCAATGAGAAGTCAATCCAATGATAAGAGTGTCTTGTTTTATCACGATATGGGCAGTCCTATTATACCTACGCGACGCGAAATGAAACGAAACACAATGAAATGAGGAGGGCAACACAAGAATCTCCCTGAATATGGGACTTTTTCCATAAATACCACTGTTTAAAAAAAAAATCCAAAAATACCACCCAACCCCAAAAAATTCCAGAAATACCACCCTTTTTCAAAAACCGCCACCCCCCCTACGGTTTAAACGAAAACCGCTGGGCGGGGGCACGATTTTCTATGCAAACCGCTGGGCTAAGGGCGGTTATAAAAATCGGACCTAACCACTCGGTGGGGCGGCGATTTTGGACCAAACCGCCACCCCACGCAGCGGTTTGGTCCGGGTTTTTTTTCGATCAACTCCTAACTTCGGCCGAAACTTCAAATGAACGTAACTTTGCACTCGGGTATCCGATCGTAGCGATTTTTTTTTAATACGAATAACTTTTCGAGATCTTGCAAGATCGCTGGGTGGGGTGGCGGTTTGGTCCAAAACCGCCGCACCACCCAGCGGTTTGGTCCGGTTTTTATAACTGCCCCTTAGCCCAACGGTTTGCATAGAAAACCGTGCCCCCGCCCAGCGGTTTTGGTTTAAATCGTGCCCTGCCCAGCGGTTTTCGTTTAAACCGTAGGGTGGGGTGGCGGTTTTTGAAAAAGGTTGGTATTTTTGGATTTTTTTGGGATTGGGTGGTATTTTTGAATTTTTTTTTAAACAGTGGTACTTTTGGATTTTTTCCCTGAATATGGCTCCCCCTAAAACATGTGACGAATCCTTCTAATTAAGCATCCTGATGATCACTTGCACATCATCAGGATAAGTCAATCCAATGAGAAGTCAATCCAATGATAAGAGTGTCTTGTTTTACCACGATATGGGCAGTCTTATTATACCTACGCGACGCGAAATGAAACGAAACACAATGAAATGAGGAGGGCAGCACAAGAATCTCCCTGAATATGGCTCCCCCTAAAGCATGTGGCGAATCCTTCTAATTAAGCATCCTGATAATCACTTGCACATCACCACAAAACATCTATCTATATCTATCTATCTATATCTATCTATCTATCTATCTATCTTCTATACTATATATTATGACAATTCAAAAGTAACTTCTTGCCACATAAGCACTTGGAGAAATAACAAGTTGCCTAGGTGGACATTTTTTTACTAACAAAAAAATTTATTATTAATCTATTTATGAAGCTATCTCTCTTCTTTTAGTATTTATGCTCACTTTTACTCAACATTAATAATAAGCTACATTGAAAATGTAAATAAAAACATGTAAAAAATAATAATATTTTTGTCAATTAAACAAAATATAAAGATGGAACAAAGAATGACAAATATCGGGTTTGTTTAAACAAAAAATATATGATTAAATTTTATCAAGTAAATTATCTACTCATTTTAACCAAAACTTAATAATAAGTTAGATTTTAATGAAAAATTTAAAGAAGTACACACATAAATAATAATATCTTTTTACTTCAGATAAAATATAACGACACAAAGAGACAAATCAAGAGTTTCCTCTTCTGCCTCTGGTGCCTTTTTCGAGCTGCTAGGGTCATCCAAGGCCTTTCCACTCCTCAATGTCACTGCCACAACTTTAGCATCTTTTGGATTCCTCTCGGTGTTAGCCGGTAATGTCCCAGGAATCCTGCCCTGCATATCCGCCAGAGTTTGAGCCATCTGTCCCATCTGCCTCTCCATAGCTAGCATAGAAGATTGTAAATTATTGTTGATGGCTAGCTGTTGAATGACAAACTGATCCAGGCCCTTCAGATTATTGTCGGTTTTCTGCATGTGAGCCAGAAGCAATTCTTCAAGTTGTGGTTTCTTCTCTGGTTGAGGTGGAGGTTGTTGTTTCTGCATGCCTGGAGGTGGAATGTTGCGAGCACCATTTGGGTTGTTGTTTTCCCAGGAAAAGTTAGGATGCTTCCTCCATTGTGGGTTGTAGGTATTCGAATACATACCACCCTGGCCTTGATTTCTCTGATTGTTGATATAGTGCACATCTTCCACCTGATCAGCCACCAGTGGAAATAGATCCCTCTGATGAGCACCTTCACATAACTCGCAATAAGCAACCTCCTCCTGTCTACCCAGAGCAATCTTGGCTAGCCTTCGTTCGAGTGCATCGAACTTGGAATCCAGCTTAGCATCAATCTTTGCTTCTAAGCTTGCAACTCTGTCTATCTCATGCAAGCCTCCTCTCCTTCGAATGCCGGTCTCACTCCCCCATTCAGTATCTTCAGAGCATATCTTCTCCACCAGTTCATATGCTTCTGGTGCTTCCATTCTTGTGAAACCATTTCGGGAAGCATTATTCAGAGCATCTCGAAATTGTCTTCTGATTCCGTTGAAGAAGATGGAGATCACATTCCAATCTTCAAGACCGTGGCTTGGGCATCTCATTAGAAGCTCCTCTTGCCTCTTCATTGCCTTGGCAGGAGGAAAGTACTTATCCAAAAAGGTCTTCTCAAGCTGACCCCATGTTGTGATGGAACGGGGTGTCAAGTTCTGGAACCAGTGTGATGCATTCCCAAGCAGAGAAAATGAGAACATCCGAAGACGGATGGCATCATCAGACATAGCCGGGCTCTTCATTGTGTCACAAATGTTTGCAAACCGGCGGAGATGTTCATGAGGATCCTCGGTGCTGGCCCCAGAATTGGAACTAAAACCATTGCCTAGTCACCTTAAGTATGCATATCTGGGGGGAAACTCCACTTTACCTGTTATTGTTTCTGCTACACTGACTGATTCGCAGGAACAGGAGCTCTTGAAGGTCTTACGCCAGCACATACAGGCTTTAGGTTGGACTATTGCCGACATCAAAGGCATTAGTCCAGCATTTTGTATGCATAAGATCCTTCTAGAGGAGGAGTCCAAGCCCTCCGTCCAGGCACAACGGAGACTAAACCCTCACATGAAAGAAGTAGTGCATAAGGAGGTAATGAAGCTATTGGATGCAGGTATTATTTACCCTATCTCTGATAGTACTTGGGTTAGTCCCGTGCATGTGGTCCCTAAAAAGGGAGGAATGACAGTAGTGAGAAACGATAAGGATGAGATGATATCTACCCGAACTGTTACGGGCTGGAGAGTGTGTATAGATTATAGGAAGCTGAATGAGGCGACCCGAAAGGATCACTTCCCTCTTCCTTTTATTGATCAAATGCTCGAACGGTTGGCGGGTCATTCTCACTACTGCTTCCTAGATGGTTACTCCAGTTATTTTCAGATCCCAGTAGAACCGGAGGATCAAGAGAAAACTGCTTTTACATGTCCTTTTGGTGTTTTTGCATATCGTAGAATGCCTTTTGGATTATGTAATGCACCAGCAACCTTTCAGCGGTGCATGACTGCCATATTCTCTGACATGTTAGAATCGAGTCTTGAAGTTTTCATGGATGACTTCTCGACTTTTGGTACTAGCTTTGAACATTGTTTGGCTAACTTGTCTAGAGTTTTGCAGAGATGTGAAGAGACTAATCTAGTCTTGAACTGGGGAAAAATGTCACTTCATGGTGACAGAAGGTATAGTGCTTGGTCATCGAATTTCGGCGAGAAGGAAAAGAAAAAAAGAGAAGGGTCTCGGGTTGGCAATTTAGTGGGCGGAAAATTTATTTTCTTGGTATCGGGCGGAATTCTTGGAACGGAGGAGAAAGAAAGCGCAAGGCAGCAGCACGCATCGAGCGATCAGTCGATTTCCATCGGCGACTGAGATTTCCAAGGCTACCTGAGCTGAGTTCAACGAGAGCGATTAGTTGGTTGGATTTTCTGAACCTAATTAGTTGTTTTTTGTTGTTTTAGAACATGACGAACAAAACCCTATCGATTTATCTTAATTTCGTCATGAACTAAACCCCAATTTCTGGGGGAAACACCATAGGATGTAGCTATTTCTTGATTTGATGGATTAATTCACGATTCTTTTCTTCCAATCTCTATTGCATGAAATTTCTTAATGCTTTGTGTTGACTGGCCACCAATACATCGATTTGTAGTTAATTAGGTTATTAGCGACAGTGAAACCCTAATAACTGAACCTATTTCATGTGACATAGTAACTTATCAAAGCGACAGTGGATTAAATAAGGTGCTATGCGGTCTTAAATAGGATATCGATCTTCAGACTACATAGTTAATTCATTGAGCTACGACAGTAGGATTTGAATTGATTATTTAGTACGTAGTAATTCCCGACAGGGATAGCTAGCACATTCGTGATATCCTGGCTGTAGAGGTATGGATTAAATTGATTGGAACATGTGAATTAATCTGGATAGGATAGGTAGTGAATCCCGGTGTTTCTCCCAGAGCTTTCTCCCATTGAATTTTCCTCGACAAATTTACTTTGCTTAATTAGTTTAGTTATTTTGCTATTAGTTAATAAGTTTATCAACCAAACCATTTTTCATCTATAGTTTGCTCTATAGAATTGATAGAATATAAGGTTGTACCAGTCCCTGAGAGACGATACCCGGACTTTCCGGTTTTACTACAAGATAGGAATTGAAGCTATACGCCCACATATTCGCTTTTAAATTGGATCTTCTAAATATTTTGTAACAGAGTTTGTAGTATGTCTATATTGAAATTTCCAATATTTAGCACACTCACTCGTGGTGCTTCGGTTTTCGAATCATAAATTATGCTGCTGTCACGTCCCATTTAGAACTTATGTCAAAATTCGTCAACCAAAACACTAATATTTAGCGTACGCCAACCTAAACCACACACACATATATATAGTTCAAGCTAGCGTGCGCTAGGAGTATGTTATACTCTTGCGTTCATACTACCATACGACCATTGAGTTTTACTATTTAGACCCGAATTAACCGGATTTTTTTGGGGCATTATACTATACCCTAACCTCTAATAGGTGAACTCTAGTCCCTAATTCTGTAACCTCTAATTTATGCACATACTTCGTAATACGTATCTTCTATCGTATCTTGAGTTAAATAAAAAGCATAGTATACCTTGATATTACATATACATGTATATATATATATATATATATATATATATATGTATATTACACTCAAAATTATCTAGAGATCTCGCTTTTACCCCCCATAACGCCATAGAACCATTGGGGTTGTCTATTGTTCGATATATAATATAAAAAAGGTAGGGATGACGGGATCATAGCTCGATATGGTTTTATTATGTTCATCTTATCAGAGGTTATGTTCTTTTTTGCTTTTTTTTGGCTTCTTTTTCATTCTACTTTAGCACCTATGGTTGTGATCAGAAGTATTTAGCCCTCGAAAGGGATTGGGATTTTAGGTCCTTTGGAAATCCAATACACATTCATGATCCTCGAGTTTGGACGAACTCTCGACCAATGTTGTAAAAATTACGACTTTTTAGTGAGAAATTCTTAGTAAAGATACTTCATTATTGGATTTATTCATCCATATTGAAACTTGACACACACTGTAGCCCTCATGATTACTAAATTCTCTAATCTCGGCTCATTTCCATTTTGGATGTTTGTTTTTTTTATCCAGACACTTAAATTTAGTATATTATATAATATGTATCCATTGTTAATTTTTGAAGTTTATACTAAACCTCAACCGGTGGTCATTGTTTATATGTTGACTTAGAATCTCAATCTAAGGCACTCACACACACTATCGAGGATTTTTGGTTTTAACATGGTCGTTGAATGTGTAATTTTCAAAGATTTTATCGCTTATATATTAATAATTGATAAAGAGTGTCTTCAATACACATATTTTAAGTGCATTTAAAATGTCTTATCATTTGAACAATATCAGTGTATTTCATTTGATTATTTGCATTAACTTATTATCTTATACAACATATATTAATTCGTTTTTCTCGAGTCTAGACGAACTGAAAACCAATTTTGAGAATTGAGATTATTGGATAAAGATACTTGATTGCTGGATAAATATTTTTATCCCAATTGACGATCTTACTAAAAATTGCCAACCTTTATTTGGTAAATGCCTATGTTAGTAGTTGATGAAACATGATGTTTATCATAGATTCTGAACAAAGATTTTTCTAACATTCACATCTATTATTTTTCAAGGAATCTTGTGTCTCATCCTAGGGTATGAAGTCAAAGTTCGTCAACAATCATACTTAAGTCATTTTGAAAATTTTGATTTATAATCGTCGAAGATAACTCCAAGTCTGAAAGAAAATTTCTTAGCATATGACTTAGAACCTCAATAGAGCTTGCTCAATCAACATGATATAGAGCAAATATTATTAATGTGAACTTAGGTCACATTATCAAATTATTGCACATGCGATTCCTCTTCATTTGAGGAATTTAAGGTAGAACATGATCTGAACGAATAAGATTTTTTTTTAAATAAATAACCGTAACTACTCGATCAAGATTATACTCTGACATTTTGCTAAATAATACTGTTTTATTTTATAGATATATATTGTACGAATAAGAGAGTGTTTCATTGCAACAAAATATAAAATAATTTAGTTTATTTTTCAAAGGTAATTGAATGACAAATGTTTATTTTCTCTTTTTCATATATATTTTCGTTTAATCGATTAAAACATAATTGTTTATGTGTATGTTTGTTTATTTTTTCATCAAAATGTAACTTATCATTGAATTTTAGTAAAAATGAGTAGAAAATTTATTTCATAAGGTTTAATCAGATATTTTTTATTTAAATAAATGTGATATATGTCACTCTCTTTTTTCTTATTTATATTTTGTTTATTTAAAAAATTATTATTTATGTGTGTTTGGTTAAGTTTATCAACATGTAACTTATTATTAAAGATAAAAAAGAATAAATGGATAAATGAAAAAGAATAATTGGATAAAAAAATGGAAGTATTAAAGAAGAAAGAGGTAGCTCCATAAATACATTTCTTTCAATTTTTAAACGTTTGCAATGACATTTATTTGTTTCATTAGCGTGAATTTTTGCCTCATTGAATCCCTAACTAAAACTTGATTTTGAGAACAACTATTTTGATTGATGCATCAATCGTGTTCATGAATGAAAATTATACAAGATACAATGAGCTGAGTTTTATTGAAGTATGCAGCTTTTACAATTCGTCTATATTGTTATTAGGTAAAAAAACACACCATTGTTTTTTAAAGGGGGCATGTAGCGCTCTACGAATATAAAATGTGTTTATATGCAGTTTACTTTGCTGAAAATATTGTTTTAATAAATTAGTGACAACTGATGGTTCTATTTTTGGTTGGTTTTGCTATAACATTTTAAAGATAAATTAAATGAATAAGCAGAAGATGGATGATGTGGATGCTAAATGTGTTTTCTCATTCTTCCAAAATTGCACAAATAACTGATAGTGCACGATGTTCGTAGGATCTAGAGCGCAATAGTATGTATTATCATATACCAACATACGAGAACGAAGAAGAAATGAAAAGCTCTTTGCTTATTTTCTTTAAAGTTAAAATATATTTGCTTATTTATTTTGTTTAAACTTCTTTGTCACTATTGTTTGCTAAAAAATTAATAATCTCTTATGTTTATATCCTAAATTATGGTTTCGGTACCAACTTATAATTAAACAAAGAAAGGTCTACCGAGAGCTCATTTAATAAAATAAAATTTTCATAAATAAACAAAAGATTTAAAAGTGTGTAACAATACCTAAAATCAAGTAAGCGAGATTAACAATTCAATGTATAATAGTTTAACATACATAAATCATAAAAAAAAATAATAGAACAAAAATAAAATCACCGATACGAATGCACCGCCTAACGGGCGGGTAAAAAGCTAGTTATATTAGGAAGCAAATGAGACAGACACCAATGAACAGCGGCCGTTAACGCCATAAGTTCCCTAATGAAGGAATTGTAATGAGATAATAGACAAAACTGAAGCTTTATGAACACAGCCATATTTCCATGTGATCGCATATGAGATTGATCATGTATTGGTGTAGCAACGTCTGGCTGCCTTTTTTGCCTTGCAAGATGAAATGAGGCATGTGGTTATTACTTATTAGTAAACAAGCGACGGCAGTACAAAGATGATATAGAAAATGTTTTTCGTTTATTTCATTCAGCGGGGATAGCTCAGTTGGGAGAGCGTCAGACTGAAGATCTGAAGGTCGCGTGTTCGATCCACGCTCACCGCATACACATTCAAATAATTTTAATGGATGTTCAGCGCTGAACAAACTGTTTTTTTTTTATAGAATGGGAGATCAGAAAGACTCATCAATGACATATTTCTTAAACTTCCAATATCACAATAGAGAAACAAGAGATGCCATTTTATTTCATCTGCTGTTTAATACAATGCCTTGTTATTCACAATGTTACATGATGCAAACTTCTTGCACAACAGAATACACAAGATGGGGGTCATTCAATTCACCAGTATACATTCTCTTCTTCCAGTCTCAGTGAAGCTTGAGGAAACTCAAGACAAGATCATAAACTTCCTCTTTGGCAGCATCAGCCATGACATAGTCAGCATGAGCATAGTTATTCACATACTGAGTCATGAAATTGCCCTTGTTATCATCATGACCTTTCAGCACATCCAGCAAGAACCTGACATCGCTTTTATCCGAAAGCCCGTCGCTCCCTCCATAGCTGAAGAAGAGAGGAAACTCCGTGGGGATGTTCTTCATGTTGTAATCTGGAGGGCTTGGCTGTCCATAATGGCTCATGTTGTCATCCTCATTGTTGTAATCATACATTGCCAACGTCCCTCTCCTCACCACTGGGTTCATATTGACGTAAGAGACAAGGCAGCAGTAAGCTTTAGTCAAGACCCAATTCTTCCAAATTAATGTTCGTTCATTGGGTTTGAAGTTGACTCTCATAACATGTTAAAAATGAAAACTAATTCGTCCGATATATTGAGTTTTTCTAGATGAGAATTTTGTGTAAGAGAAGGATTTTACTCTGGGAGAGGTGGATCATGTTCTTCATTGATGTGGGCTGCGGTTCATATTTCAGAAACAGGTCCACTGTGGAAGATTGCAGGCAGCAATTCTTGCCTGTTAAATGGACATTTAAAAACAAAATCTCCATTACTGCAACTGAAATCTAGAGAGCTACTTGCCAATCAAGATATATTAAAACTATGTAATGTTACCTGTAATTGCAGTCAACAAGTCCCCACAGCTGACTCCAGGTACCTTGCAGATGTCGTGAAGTAAGTTTGCGGCATCAATCCTGTTTTCATTATCACAGAGAAAAGACCTCAGCTTTGTCTAGAGACTTGTAATGAAAGTAACCATTGAACTGAAAGTTTTAGTATAATTTCTCTTACCCTTTGGGATCGAATTCATTGATATTCAACCAGTTCAATTCCTGTTACACAAGAATGTGGTAGATAAAATTGCCATGAGATTTCCTTTTTCTTTTATTTCTTTTCAGGTTAATTAGTTAGTACAATTTCGAAGCTTTATACCTCTGCAAGGAATAAATCAGCACCAACTTTGGAGAAGAAGGAGCTCATGTGACCCAGATAGCCAATAGGGCAAAGCAAGGCAGCTGATCTCACCATGTTCATCAACTGGCCATTTGAAAAGGCGGCAAGAGCTGTCAATGTCCCCTGTGAGTGTCCAACATAATGCATGTTTTGGCCAGTTTGGTTATGAACATAACCAACTGTAGCAGGCAGATCATAGTTCACCAGCTCATCCCATGACCAGTTCCAGTAAGCCTGAGTTCAAACATTGAACAAAGAGTTCATCAGAGAAAACCCTTTACTTGTTTCTAATCAAGATGAAGATAAAGTGAGGTACTTTGTCATCTGTAGTAAGTGAAACATGGCCGCGGCTGTACTTTGTTCCTCGACTATTGGCAATCCATACATCATAACCCTTATCAGCCAACACAAATGCTAATGACTGGCTTGGAGGCAGGAGAAGCCAAGTCATCCCATCCTGCAAAAGCCATGTCAGAAAGCTCAGCAATTCATCATGTTCTAAATCCACCCAAAATCGTTCTGATGGAGAGTAACAATGTACCATTAACACCCCATGCTGCAAAAGGACTGGTGTTCTTTTCCCAGGACTGCCACCTGAAATCCCAACTGGGATCCTTTGTAAGCTCAGAATATAGCCATCTGAAGTTGTCACCTGCAAAACCAACATAGTAAAAGAACCATATTTTAGAAACTTGCTACAAACGTAATGTTTTCATCATCAAATGGATCGATGCTATTTCGGCTAGTTACCGTGTGTTCTTCACATGTATAGCCTTGATTTGTGATCAATAGCTCACAGATGCCATCACTGAGAGATGGCTCAAGTCCATATGTGACATTCATGGCAGAAAGGAAGCGTCTACTTCTTCCTGTGGCAGCTGTCAAATTGCAGAGAAGCGCTGATATGAGAACAAAGGTTAGAGCTTTGGCCATCTTTCGATTTTGGGGGGGAGATCGATTTGCGATTTGGTTCCAATGTTCCACAGTAAATTTATAACGGAGCAATCTTAAGATTAAGATTAAGAACAAAAAAATGGTTTCTTGAACTCAAGACAAACTTTGTTTAAGGAGACCAAAAACATATTACAGGTCTATTTGGCATAACTATTCTTTAATAATTTATTGTCCCCCACAATAGAAGAACTTCCACGTTTACATTGATCAAGTCAGCAACTTTGTAGCTTAATTTTTGCAGAATCGATCTGGACAAAGCAGTTGTATTCAAATTTGGGGGTTTGATTCTAGTTTTATGGGTGTTTGCAGTTACTTACTGATTAGTGAGAGTGTCCAAAAAGGAAGTGTTCACATGTGGGAAGCTGGGAGTTTTTTATAGAAAAACAATTAAACACCATTGAGTAACTTTTACTAGTTAATGCATCAAATCAGGCATATTTGGGGATTGGGCTTTGTCACATAAGAATGATGAGGATATCGCCATCTGATTGGGCCACTGCCTAATAGCAGCTATAGTGAAATACTCGAACTCATTCCCTAATCAATCATTAAATTATATTAATTAAATTATATTAATCCACAAGTTTTTTCTGTTCCTTAAGAAAAAATAACAATTCTCTTATTGCTACTGTTCATAAAAGGGCATCGTATCATATGAGGGCAAGTATATGGTGAAAATGTATTCCTCCGATTGCGAAATACATGTTGTTTAGCGTAAGCATCCATTCCTACCCAAGCATATATACCTGAATCCCTCCTCTCATTCAAACTCATCAAAACAATGAACATCTTGATCTCAGTCTCGGAGGTATGTAAAGTTTCCTTTTATTATATTGGTGTTACAATTAATGAAATACAACAGAAGTGTAATGACAACTCAAGATAAATATGTCTCCCAATTGAAAGACTTAACCAAAGGACCTTAAGTTCTTCACCTTTCAGTTATACAGTTTAAGAAAAGCCAGCAGAGGCTCATAAACCTTTTCCCTAGCATTATCAGCCATGACATAGTCTGCATGAGCATAGTTGTCGACGAACTGAGACATAAGTTTGTCTCCCATGTGATCCTTCAAGCTTCTCAGCAAGATCTGCACGTCTTTAGCAGAAGTAATGGCATCTGTGCTTCCATAAGTGAGATATAGAGGCAAATCCTTAGGAATTTGGGTTATGTCGTACACTGGAGGAGTAGGCTGCCCATAACGCTTCACATTTTGATCTTCATTGTCGTAATCATACATTGCTATTGTCCCTCGTCTCACCACTGGCAAAAAGTTGAAGCGCAGCAAAAGAAGAATCCAGGAAACCATGGCTTTATCAGCAGTGTATCAGAATGTTTGCTTAGGCAAAGGATTACAGCTCAAGGCCGTTACGGGCCATCAATTTTGGGATCAACTAGGGTTCGGAATTCAGAGAGGTTAGACGAGTTGAACGTATCGGATCAGATTTTGGTGATGCATAACTAATTAAGTAGATCCACTTACTCTGAGAAAGATGGAGCAAGTTCTTTGTAGATGTGGGTTGAGGCTCATTTTCCATGAAAGAATCCATTGCAGAAGGTTTCAGACAGCAGTTCTTCCCTGGAAAGGACATGGACTCCAGAACTCAGACAAACATACAATTCATGCATCCTATGAAAACAAAACAAGAAGTTTGGACTAAAGAATCAACCTGACAATGCAGTCATCAAGTTGTTGCAGTCCACAAATTGCAGCTTGCACATTTTTTCAAGAAACTTCTGAGCAGGACCCCTAGTGTCATAAGTCATAACCAAGATTCTATCAGGGAAAACAAGTTTTAAGATTGAAACAACTAAGAGGGAAAAAGAAAAATGTCACATTCTTTTTACCCATTTGGATCAAATTCCTTAATTTTCAGCCAATAAAATCCCTGTTACATAGTAGACAAAAAAAGCAAAAATCTCTCAACATTATTAGCCAAAGAATTGCTCTTTCGGCTCCGGAACAGAAGAGAAAAGAAGAATGAGCAACGAAGGCGAGGAATTCACCTCGGCGAAGAAGAGATCAATAGATCCTCTCATGAGGAGTGATGACATGTGATGCATATAAGCAATGGGACAAAGCAAAGTAACTGAAGTCAACTTGTTGACAAGATGGCCTTTTGAAACAGCTGCAAGAGCTATCAAATTTCCCTGTGCACACAAAAGACAGACATCAGAATTTCTTTGAAGTTGCCAGAGGCCTTAAAACAGCAACTTGGGAATCTTCAGAATATTCACCTGGGAGTGGCCAACATAGTGCATCTTCTGTTTTGTCTGGTTATAGATATAATCAACCGTGGCAGGAAGATCCAGTGCTGCCAATTCATCCCATGACCAATCCCAATAAGCCTGAGAGCATCAGAACAACAACAACAATAGCTAGTTTTTGTCAGCATGCTGGAACCAGAATGTAGGGATCGGCAAATATCAACCCAAACCCACTCTAACCAAACTTAATGAGTTGTGAGTTGACGGGTTTCTACATCTTTAATGGTTTGTGATCAAAGAAAGCAAACTAACTCTGTCATCTAGATCATAAGATACATGGCCTCGGCTGTACTTGGACCCACGGCCATGGATAATCCAGACATCATAGCCATTATCTGCCAAAAGGAATGCCAGATTCTGGCCTGGAGGTAGTAGAAACCATGTCATTCCATCCTGCCACCGAGGGAAAAACAAAGCTTCATGTTCCATAAAATCATAAGAAAAAACAAAACTTACAGTAACTAAGAAACGTAAATTTTTGCTAACCATGAACAACCCATGTTGTAGAAGAACAGGCTTTCTGGAACTGCCACCAGACTTGCTAGCAAGTCTCTGCATGCCAAGGATGTAACCATCTTTTGTAGTCACCTGAAAAGATACCACCCAAAAGAGGCTTTTCAAGATTCATTCTCTTGAACCAATACATCTTTCTTTTTTCTTGTGAAAAATATTTACCTTGTGTTCTGAACAGCTATAGCCTTCTGGCTCAACCACTGATCTGCAGACTCCATGACCAGCTGCAGCTGCCGAGAAATTCACAAATCTAACAGAATCCGAATGGGATATAGCATCAACCATAGCCATCCCACAAAAGAGAAATGATACAACTATCTGGAGATTACTAGCCATCTTAGCTACTTTGCTGTTGTGTGTTTATAGACTTTGCTGTTGTGTGTTTATAGACTTGTCACAGTTCTAGTATTTGCGCACACTTTATACCACACGATTTCCAGATAAGAACAAATAGGAGCATTCCATTTACAAAACTACAAGAACTCCCCAAGTATTCCAAATAACATCTACTTAGACATCAATCATTCATTAATTACTTATAAATGGGATTCACTCATGTCATGGACAAATTATGCCTTTCAGGCGGTGGAAGACATGCATACAGCCAAAGCTCTACGTTCTAATTGTGTTCCATTTTGTCTTGGAAAGAAGACCATACCTTTCCAAATTCAAATGAGATGCCTTCTCAGTTTCATCGATTGCTCTTGTCAAGTAGTTCGGGGAACAATTAAAGCAACCATAAACCATGGTCTACGAAAATTCGATGAAAGCACCAAAATAAACCTTTTTTACAGTCCTCACCTTTTCAACAAGCTTGATGAGGTCTTTTGAGTTATCATAAAACAGAAGTAATCACATGTGTAGTATAACGAGAACCTCCTGGATCGACCAGCTTCTTAGGCTCAGCATGTTCAAGAGTCTGGTTGTTTTGCATCTACAGCACACCAGGAATGCATTATATCAGGTTATTATAACCTATGAAAGGCAAACAAAGGAAGCACCCTATGTCTTAAAACTGTTTTGGGGTACCAAAACTCACAGCTTTCTCAATTGATTCAAGCCTTTGCTCAACTTTGGATTCATGGAGGTGACGGAGTGTATATCCTGCGTAGCAAATTGACCATAACAAAATCCTTATTTGCAAGATTCAAAGTAATTACTACACACTGCAACTGACTCCGCTGGGAGCTAGAAAGACCAGATTGAAAAAAACTTACCAATCCATGCTGTGGCAACTGAGGCCACAGATGTCTCGATTGTAAAGACAACCCTATATCGGATGATTATAATTCATAACCAACGAAGGGCAAACAGCAGTTGGTGGTGACCTTCTTCTCCCTCGAACAGCATTCGGTGACGCGATCCTCCTCTGCATTTTGTATACTGCAGAAAGTGTACTGCAGCAGGAACATATTCTGCATTTGTGTCTCCACAAGAGATCTCTGAAACCCTTTTTAGCTATGTGCACTAAGCTTTTCTTGTTGGTACTCAGGGTTCTTGATTGGTTTACCATATCTTTAAGTGGCTTAAGACAAACTGAGATATGCAGGTACAAGGAAGAACGTGGGGATTTCAACCTGCTCATTGGATCTGATGGTGTATTTATTGATGTGAATTTATTTGGTTGGCAGGTGATGTGAATCCTCTAATTTAATCCCTTTTTACAATTGGTGGTAATCAATCCCAATTCATAGTTCATCAGATGAGTTTTATTGGTTCATGTCTTGAATCAAATTGTATATGAACTGCCTGCTGAGCATTTTTCTTTTCGGTAGAATGTTGGGGAAAAATCCCAAAGTACACTAGTTATTAAAAAATTCTCAAAATATATAAGATAAAAAAATTCTCAATATACACATGTTTTTCCATCGTCATCGTGGTCGACAACAATGAACAGATTCACCGCCGTCCTTAACTACGGTGAAAGCATCACCCATGCATCACCGCTTTAACAACAACAGTGAATACATCACCGCCGTAAAGATAAACGGTGAACTAATCACCGCGCTAAACGACAATGGTGAACACATCATTGTTATTGACAAAAATGATGAATTTATCACCACGATTGAGAAGAGCAGTGAACGTTTATCACGTTTTCCAACCCTGGTAGGCGAAAAATTAAGTCACAACAACTTAGCATTCACCGCAGTGATTGTTGGTTTTTTTCATATAAATAAACTACCCTACGTAGCTGCTGGAAAAACCTGCCCCATTCATCTCAAATTTTTGCAAAAATCCTCTTCTCGGCCTGCTTCTAGCAACTACGGTTACAGAAACTCAAAATTTTCGGTATGATATAATTCTGTATTTGTTTAGATTTTTATATTTTCATAATTATATGTTTGTATTTAATGAATTTTTGTTAGTGGAAATTTTGTTATGTTAGAGATATTTAGATTAATTTGTTTAGTATACTCATGTCATTGTAATGCTATAGGTGGTCCATGTTTCGATTAGTTAGTTGCGGTTGTTTATGGTTTTGGATTATATTATTTTCGTAGCCCTAATTATATTGTACTAATTTTAATCCACTTAAGCTAATTGTTACTTATTATAAATTGCAGACATGGGTAAATTCAAGAAGTTTTAGCTTCTTATTTCGTGGAGTGGTCGGGTGACAAACTCTGGCATTGGGATCGATTATGAAGACAGTGAATCCACTATGTTGCAAATAGAGTCGAGATTCACGTGGCAAGAACTCTATGACATTTGTGCATACAGGATTTGTATGGGCGGACAAACGAGAGATGGTAAAATTATTTATCGGTATCCAAACATGAGTGTTGGCGGGGTTATGTACGAAAAAGTTGTCATAAACGATGATGACGCGGTTACCATGATGTTACAGTTCCTAGCTGACAACTGGATGCGACTTGCAAAGGTGTATGTTGAGACTGAGGCGGTCATTGAAAATCATTCTAACCAGTATTCGTATGATGATGGTTTTGCAGGAGGGTACAGATGGGGTGGTAGTTCAAGCAACTACGGAGGAGGTAGTTTTGCAGGAGGGGTTCCATGGGAAGAGTACATGCAACATGTTGAGCCTGCCCATTCGTTGAGCCTGAGGGCGTTCAATGGCCTGCTTGGAGGCCAGAGTAGGCTGACATAGAGAACACCATTAGATCTGGCCGTACTTCGCATGAGCGAGAAGACGTTGTTGGTGGTGCTGGTCACGATGATCCTCCTGGCCCGAGCTATCCATTTGTCTCCAACGAAGAGGAAAATGAGGAAGATTTTAGATCAGTCGGCGAGGAGGAAGATACAGACGATATCGACGACGACGAGGTGGCGTTCTGTGAGCCACCAAAGTCATACTACACAGAGGTTCCATCTCAATTTTTATACGATGCCCCCGACTTTCTTCCTATGCCAGTGTATAATCCGACGGCCAATTGGAGGTGGGTATGGCGTTCACTTCGAAAGACGTTGTTCAAGATGCTTTTAGCGAAGAAGCCATGCAGCGCAATTTCGAGTGGAAGATAAAATATTATGACGGCAAACAACTACATGTCATATGCAAGAATGCTGGAGAGGGTTATATGTGGCAATTGCGGGCTGCAAATATGAAGAGAAAGGGTACCTGGGTCATTCTAAAAGCAGAGAACAACCATAGCTGCTCCTCGTCCATACTTTTCCAGGATCACTGCCAACTTAAAGCAAAGAAAGTGGGGAGAACTATAAAGCATTTGATCGAGGGACAACTATATATCAAGATCAAAGCTATCATGGCCGAGGTGAAGGATCGACATTCCTACACGATCAGGTACAATAAGACATGGCATGGAAAGCAGAAGGCCATGTCTGAGGTGTATGGTGATTGGGATGACTCACATGTTTTACTCCCTATACTAATGGCCGCAATGGAGGAGTCCAACCCTAGGACTGTTTTCGTGCCGTGGTACAATAATGTACAAACTGAAGATCAAGTTCGAGTATAGAATGAGTTGATGTTTCACTGTCTATTTTGGGAATTCAAGCCATGCATTGACGGGTTTGCCTTCTGCATTCCAGTGATCCAGGTATAAATCAAACTAATTACTGTTGTACAGTTCATTTTTTAACTAAGTAATAGTTATACTAATTAAAATTATTTGGGTAATGACTATTTATTAGACAAACCTTTTTCAACTTCTTTTTTATTAGCCAAACCTATCGAAATACTAAGAATGAGTCAAATGTTAACTTCCAGTTAGCAATTTTGTTAGTAATATTGAATTGGCAATATGATACTGACTTGGAAGAGACACATAAAGGTCAACAATCCAAAATTTTAGTATTTTAACCGAGAAAAGAGTTACCAAATTATTAACGATAACGTAAAAATGGCTAATATTTTGATGCCTTACGAAAGATTTGGCTAATTAATGAGAACTTCTACTATGCTATATAGAATTAGTGCTTTAATGTACAACTTGAAGTTGTACCATTACATTAAATGTATAAGTTTAGGTTGTACCATAAAGCAATTTGTATCATTATGTTATGGTACAACTTTGAAACTTGAAGTTGTATCATCACATAAAGGTACAAGTACAAGTTGTACCATAAAAGAATTTGTGCAAAAAGTATAGGTACAATCTGAAGTTGTACCAAAACGTTAAAGGTACAATTTCAAGTTATACCATAAAGGCAAAAACCTATAGCACCCATACTATATTGCATTGTAAAATTCCTCCTAACTAATAGCATTTTAATAGGTTTGGATAATATAAAAAATCCGATTTGGATAAAATATAGACATTACCTAAATTATTTTTAATAGGTTGATGGAACTTTTCTTACTGGGAAGTACAGAGGAACTCTTCTCATTGCCACTGGCGTTGATGGAAATCTATGGATCTCCCCCCTGGCATTTGCATTAGTTGAAGGGGAGAACAACTTAAGTTGGGCATGGTTCTTTGACCAGCTAAACGACCAAGTCACACATCGACGGGGTATTATGATTATATCCAATTGACATGCCGAAATTAGGAACGTCGTGAATGGTTTTCCCGACGAATGGGGGTGGACATGGCACTGGTGTATTCGACACTTTCTTGCCAATTACCAACACAAATTTGGGAAGAAGAAAGACATAAGAGATCAATTGTGGAATGCAGGTACTAATGTAATTTTGTGAGTTTTAATTACTTATTGTTACAATGAAATTTCTCAATTATTAATTAGTTATTTTTTGTCACCTTGAAGCGGTTGCACATCAACCCAAAAAATAAGAGCAAAAAATGAAGACGGTCCGTCAGATACATCGGGAGGGGGCAGTATGGGCTGAAGGTCAAGATTTGCACATGTGGACATTCCATATGGACAGCGGGACTAGATTGAGCATTTCAACTACCAACCATGGTGAATGTATAAATGGATTTTACAAGGGCCTTAGAGCGATGCTTGTTTCTGTCATAGTGGAGATATCATACTGGAAGGTCAACGAGTGGTTTGTGCAGAGACTTGAAGAAGCTATAAGGAGGGAGCATGCAGGACATGCGATAGCATGTCACGTCTTTGATCAAATGCAGAAGAATGGAAAAAAAAATCAAGTAAGCATAGTATTGTTCTTTTCAACCGCAGTGAAAGTATTTTTGTTGTCGAAACAAGTATATGGGGTGGAGGAAGACGTGGGAACATTCGGCAATCTGTTACTCTACACATAGAAAGTTGCATCGGGGAGTGTACATGCCAAAAGTATCAAAACACAAGAGTACCTTGTTCTCATGCAATGGCAGTCGCTAAGTCAATAACCATCAGCCTTTACAGTCTGGTGAGTCCTTACTTCACCAAACAGGCGATCAGGAACTCTTACTCGGCCAGTTTCAGCCCCCTGCCAGATGAAGCTTATTGGCCTTTAGACAATGGGAAGTTGATATATTCCACCTTTGCACCTAAAGCTCCCCAAGGGTCGTCCTAGGACTGAAAGGATTCACAATGAGATGGATCAATCACAATGCCCAAGGCGAGGGTCAAAACGTGGCTCCAAATGCAGACAACCTGGACATGACAAGAGGCGTTGCCCGGGTCCACCTCTCCAGCAAGATTCGGGCATAAATCCGGACCAACCTTCAATGTGAAGTTTTTTAAATTGTCTTTTAGTTGTATGATGTTTAAGTTGGTCATTTAGTTGTAATCTTGTTGAGTGATTGTAATGATGATGGAATTGTGATCTATCTTGAGATAACATGGATAGTAAACTAAAACATAGATCATGGATACTTCAATGGAAAACACAAGACCGAACTAAACTAAGACAACATGGATAGTTCATAGAAAACACAAGACCAAAACACAAGACCTAACTACATAAAGACAACATGGATAGTTCAATAGAAAGACACAAATCTAAACTAAACAAAGATAACATGGATAGTTCACTGGTTGCCTTCATTTTGTTCCCCTTCGCTCCCTCTTCCTCGTCCTCCACGTCATCCTCAACCTCTTCTTCCACCTTCTCTCCATCCTACTTCTTAGCGATCTTGTTGGACAACTTCTCGTGGATTTCTCTTAACCCGACCCCCCACCCCCCCCCCCCCCCACCACCAAAGTATACATAGGTGGTGGAGGTGGAGGTGGTTGGGATGGACTAGAAGAATGGTAGTAGCTCGATGCATGAGGGGTATGTTGCTGCGGGGTCTGATACATCAGAGTCTGTTGCTAATGGTGAAATTGAGGGAACCCTTGGGGAAACATGTTATGTTCCTAAGATGGGGCGTAGCTCGATGACCCTCCAGCGCCCTCCGTTGCAGTTTTCCACTCATATGCAAATATTTCAGGAAGCTCTTAAATGTGTGGCAGAGGCTTTCGTTTGCTCCTTTGTGGGGCCTCAAGGGGGGGCACAATGCGCTCATCACTAAGAAAGGACGGGCGGGGCGGACCAGGCAGTTGAGGGTATGCTATGACATCCCTCCTTTACTCTCGAGTACAGCAAAGCAGGTTGTTGAAAAGCCATCACAGAAAAGATGTCTTCCGCTCGTCCATGGTGGGTGCACTCTTGACGATGTGCTTGGCATGTTCCAAACTGTCAACCTAATAAACTTAAGTAATAAAATAAAACTAAATAAATCTAAGCTGCCAAAAAATACGAGTGGATTGTAATCTAAGCATGTAATCTAACTACAAAAGAATAAGACAAGAGGTCAGACTTGGGATCACTTACCAACGAACCCCGCATAACACCTTGCTTTGACACCCATCTGAGTGTGAATGTCCGATACCACTTCACGTACCCATCGTGGTACTCCATAGGCCTCATCCACGGCATCCCTTGGACAACCTAATGTGATCTATTCTCTCAAATGTTGATGTAGAACTCTTGCTTGCAGGTTCAATCCTTATTTGGCTGGCGTAGGTCGATGGCATGCAGCTCCTTGAACCTAAACGCTAATTTCAAGTGTTAAACGCTGAATTCAACTCCTAAACTCTAAATTCAACTCTTGAACTCTAAATTTAACTCTTAAACGCTAAATTCAATTTTTAAATTCTAAATTCAACTCCCAAAATCTAAATTGGCCGAGCCTGGCTCTGGCCACCATTTTCGTCGCCCTAGTTCCGGCAGTCGGATTCTTTCGGCACTGCCAAGTTCCAGCTGCCGGAATCTTTTGGCCCGCAGTCTGTTCGTTGGAAATCGTCCGAAAAATTGTTTGAAACTCCAAAACATCAACGCACCTGCTTAGTGATGATTCATAGACGCGTGTTCGCAGTTTACGTCGAGGTTCTCCTTTTTAGATGATTTCCCGATGAGTTTTCGGGAAAGCGTCGATTTTTTTTTATTCAATACGTTTTCTGAAAGTTGGATGTGTTGTCGATAGTGAAACTCTTTTACCGAAGACGTATATATAATCAATTTTGATTTTTTTTTTTTTTGGTTGGCAGCAAATAGAATGCCCCATAGTCGTCTCTCAACTATTCTCTCCCACCCTCGCTCTACATCTCCCCGCAAGAAACCAAAGGGCCACTGCTGCCGCCAAATAAGAAATCGAGAGAGAATCTTCTTGTGGTGCTCAGTTGACGGTAATATACAGTTGGTAAAAGGTTAAAGATGACCCATGTACGGCAGCGAGCTTGCCTTTCTCTTTTCAGCGGCGGAATTCTCATGGTACTTAGGGGTCATTCATGGGGGAGATATCAAGCTCGACAACGATGATGATAATGAGCGCCGACCACGGAGGATATAAGGGAAAGAGTTTATATCACATAGAAAAAATAGGTTACCCAGTTCTCATCCCCTCTCTTTAATCCCGCCGCTCGACACAAGCCTCGCTCGTTGCCGCTTGGAAATGCGACAAGGGAGAAAGAGGGCATCACGAGAGCGGTAGCAGTGGCCGAGTGAGCTGAAGAAAAACGAGGACCAGCGGCTGGATAAGTGCTTCATAGCGACAACACGACTGGGCAAAGATGAGGTCGAATCAGAAAGGAGAAGATCAATTGAGGTTTGGAGATGACAATTGAGTGGTCGGTCAAGAGGAATGAGCGAGGACATCATGGCTACATCGAGTTGGCCAACATGTGAGGTATGAGCTGGTTAACTCAGCCATGACTAATTGCACTAATAATGATAACCTTTGGGGGTGAGTTATGTGGACAGTAGAACGCCCTAGAAGCTACGAGAATTGCATGGCATGGCATGAGTTCCTAGGTTTGAAAAGCTGAAGTTATGTGGTAAGGGGAATAGTTTGTATGGGAATCGATAATTGTCTGGCCATGACAAGAGCTGTGTTGCTCGATAAAGATAAATTTGAGAAGTAGCATTACCATTTGGGGATAATTCAAGATAAGAGCCATGATTGTATGAACATTAGTACTCGGGCTACATATATGAATATGACTAGCAGTTATGGGGTAGCATTAGTTAGGCTCACGGTAGGAGAGAAAATGAGAAATAAGTAACACGCATAACTTTAAGGATTGGTCTTGAACCTAGTGAGAAATATGCGAGGTGAGAGCTCCAAGTAGTTAAACGTATGGTGACCAATTAATTATGTTGACATAGTTGCATGATCGTATGGGGAAGATCACATAGCCTGTGCATCTCGGACAAGGAATTGGAAGGATAGGTGTTCAATTAAGGTCAATCGACTTGACTAGTGAGGTGAGTGTAAAAGCGATAATATCTTAGTCATAGGTCTTTTAATTTATGCAATTACTTTAAGTAAAACTAGTTAATTTTTGAGTTATGTGTGATTGTGTGTGTGAGGCATCCACGTCTACTTAAGGTGGAGGCACACATTGTGTTATGTATGTGAATGTGTGTGTTGATGTATGATTAATGGTAAGATGAACACTCAGGTAGTTGGGCCACTACTGGACGCGGTAGATGGTCGGATCACTGCTGGATGGTGATACGTAACACAACTATTAATCGAGGATATTGAGTCACTATTGGACGGCGATTCGTAAGGCAGTAGTAATCGGGCAAGGACTGGACGACGATACGTAACACAATACCATTGCCTTATGGATAGGGACACCGGACGGCAATACGTAACGCGGTGGACCCTAGTAATAAGTATATAAGTTAAGATAGAAGTAGAGAGCTTCTATAAGCCATTAACGACAAAAGTATTAAGGATGAATGCGAGAACGACTTTCATGTAAGAGTAAGTAATTTCTAATTATGTGTTAGTAAGATTTTGCTTAGGGAAAAGACCTTAGTAAGTAACAACGAGACGGGCTCCTTCTCACTCACCAGGTTGAGGAAGGGTTAGCGAATGTGGATTTCGAGAAGAGACAGAGCGAGGCGAGCAGCCGCACCAGCGTTGACGAGGTCTCGGGGAGCTCAACGAGGAGTTAGAGTTAGAGTTAGAGTTTGTTTAGTTATTTATGTTTATGAGTATAAACTATGGATTAAGGTCGCCCAAGTGTTAGGGCAATTTATTTGGTTTTCTTTTGAAAATAATTCAGTTGTATTTTTTTTTATCGAAACTTTTGAGTATTGTTTTAATCGGCTCCGAAGCCATGAGTATTTCAGTTTGGTAAAAAGAATCAGGGTGCTTCGATAGGGTTAAGCACATCTTTTTGAACCATGTGTTGGATACAAGTACGAACAATTATTTTCGTGTGATGTTATATATTACTAGCTCAAAATTTTGTGTTCCGCACGGGGTGTTCAATTCTTATTATATTAATATTTGTGTTTTATAGTAAATATGATGTAATATGTTAAACAAGAAACAAAAATCCGCATGATACAGTGTTTCAATTGATAAATGAAACAATATAACCTAAGATTGTGTTAGTGACATGTAAGATCAAGTTGAGACTGAGAGAGCAAATAACCTCGATGGCCAATGAGGCCTAAATTCTAAAATAAGAGTCTACGTAAAAATAACAAATTTATTTAAATAGTTGAAAAATTCACAAAAATTATCAACCGATAAGGATTTGAAAATGAAAACTGCATTAATGGAATAAGCTTGATCAACCGGTCTCAAATTGAATAGCCACAAAACTAACAAAGATTTTGTTTTCTTTGCCCAAAGATAGCGTAAGAATGATATAAGGTAATTAGACGGAACAGTCGCCAAATAGCCGAATTACCGATGAAATGACGATGTGCCACTAAATGGACTGCTCTATTAAACCAACATGGAGTATAATTACAACAAAACGAGACAAAAGATATAGATAGCTGACGAACTTCCTCCAAAACGGCTCAACCGAAACCATGCTCCACCTCGCATGCTGCCAATGAATAGCCGACGAACTAACAAAGATTGTTGACTAAATGAAATTATCCTTAAAGTTTTCAGGAAATCAAAAAAACTTAGTGAAATTTTAAATGAAAAATGCATCGCCGGAATACACATGATCGAAATGCGCGTGATTAGCAACCCTCGAGTTGAAAACTAGAAAAATAATAATAATAATAATAGTTTTTCAATCAATATGAGTTCGAAAATGAAAAACAAATCGTTAATACGTGATCAAAATGCGCGTGATAGGTCAATGTCTTGGAATTCCTTGATCTTCTCCACGTAGTGGATAATTGGTCAACAAATGAAAAGGATGAGAGTTTTTTGGTATAAAGTTTGAAAGAAATAAAAACAATTAATGAAACCCTAAATCAAGACTTTTATGTACCATTTCAAAAATGAAAAATGTATAGTCGGAATATACATAATCGAAATATGCATGATTAGCCATCCTAGAGTTGAAGGAATATACATAATCGAAATATGCATGATTAGCCATCCTAGAGTTGAAAAGTGGAAAATTAAAAACAAATTGTCAATCGATGGGAATTCGAAAATGAAAAACAAATCGTCAGAATATACATGGTCGAAATACACGTGATCGGTCAATATATGTGAATTTTTGGATTGCCTTCGGGTAGTGCATAATTGGTCAACAATTGAATGGTGATGGAGAATTCTTCTGAAAGGGATGGGAGTTTTTGGAACAAATGAAAATAGATCCTAAAGTTTGAAAGAATATAAAAAAAATCGCTTAATGAATAGTAAACCCTAAACTAAGGTTTTTATATACCAACAGTTAATCGTTACTCATATTTAGATGAGATTTGATATATTTTATAAATATATTAACAATATAATGACTTTTAGTTTTTACATATATATGGGCTAAACGAAACTAAATCGATCGCAACATTAACTCTCAATACACTTACTCGGACGGATAAACGGGCTGAACCGGATTGACAATAGATAAGTAAAGTTTCCTTTTATTATATTGGTGTTACAATTAATGAAATACAACAGAAGTGTAATGACCACACAAGATAAATAAGCAATCCAAAGACTTAACAAATGGACCTTAAGTTCTTCACCTTTCAATTATACATTTTAAGAAAACCCAGCAGAGGTTCATAAACCTTTTCCCTAGCATTATCAGCCATGACATAGTCTGCATGAGCATAGTTGTCTACGAACTGCGACACAAGTTTGCCTCCCATGTGATCCTTCAAGCTTCTCAGCAAGATCTGCACGTCTTTAGCAGAAGTAATGGCATCTGTGCTTCCATAAGTGAGATATAGAGGCAAGTCCTTTGGAATTTGGGTCATGTCATACACTGGAGGAGTAGGCTGCCCATAACGCTTCACATTTTTATCCTCATTGTCGTAATCATACATAGCTATTGTCCCTCGTCTCACCACTGGCAAAAAGATAAAGCGCAGCAAAAGAATCAGTAATCAGAATACAGGAAACCATGGCTTTGTCAGCAGTGTATCAGGATGTTGACAGTCTCGGGTCAGAGTTTGGAGATGCATAACCTGATTAGCTAGAGCCACTTACTCTGAGAAAGATGGAGCAAGTTCTTTGTAGATGTTGGTTGAGGCTCATTTTCCAGGAAAGAATCCATTGCAGAAGGTTTCAGACAACAGTTCTTCCCTGGTAAGAACATGGCAACCAGAACTCAGACAAACATACAATCCATGCATCCTAAGAAAACGACACAAGAAGTTTGGACTAATGAATCACCTGACAATGCAGTCATCAAGCTGTTGCAACCGGCAAATGGCAGCTTGCACATTTTCTCAAGAAACTTCTGAGCAGGACCCCTAGTGTCATAAGTCATAGCCAAGATTCTATCAGGGAAAACAAGTTTTAAGATTGTATTTGAAACAACTAAGAGGGAAAAAGAGAAATGTCACATTCTTTTTACCCATTTGGATCAAATTCCTTAATTTTCAACCAATAAAATCCCTGTTGCATAGTAGACAAAAAAAGCAAACAATCTCTCAACATTGTTAGCGAAAGAATTGCTCTTTTAGCTCCGGAACAGAAGAGAAAAGAAGAATGAGCAACGACGACAAGAGGAATTCACCTCGGCAAAGAAGAGATCGATAGATCCTCTCATGAGGAGTGATGACATGTGATGCATGTAAGCAATGGGACAAAGCAAAGTAACTGAAGTCAACTTGTTGACAAGATAGCCTTTTGAAACAGCTGCAAGAGCTATCAAATTTCCCTGTGCATAAAAAAGACAGACATCAGAATCTCCTTTAAGGGGTCGTTTGCTTCAAGTATTTGCATCATGGATTTGGTATCAGAGGCCTTAAAATAGACACTTGGGAATCTTCAGAATATTCACCTGGGAGTGGCCAACAAAGTGCATCTTCTGTTTTGTCTGGTTATAGATATAATCAACCGTGGCAGGAAGATCCAGTGCTGCCAATTCGTCCCATGACCAATCCCAATAAGCCTGTGAACATCAGAACATCGGCAAATATCAACCGAAACTCACTCTGACCAAATGTAATGGGTTGTGAGTTGACGGGTTTCTACATCATTAATGGGTTGTGATCAAAGAAAGCAAACTAACTCTGTCATCTAAATCATAAGATACATGGCCTCGGCTGTACTTGGACCCACGGCCATGGATGATCCAGACATCATAGCCGTTATCTGCCAAGAGGAATGCCAGATTCTGGCCCGGAGGTAGTAGAAACCATGTCATTCCATCCTGCCACCAATATCATACCAAAAATGGAAAAACAATGCTTCATGTTCCATAACGTCATAAATAGAAAACAAAACTTAAAGTAACTAAGAAACATAAATTTTTGCTAACCATGAACAGTCCATGTTGTAGAAGAACAGGCTTTCTGGAACGGCTACCAGACATGCTAGCAAGTCTCTGCATGCTAAGGATGTAACCATCTTTTGTAGTCACCTGAAAAGATACCACCCAAAAGAGACTTTTCAAGATTCATCCCATTGAACCCATACATATTTCTTATTTCTTGTGAAAATATTTACCTTGTGTTCTGAACAGCTATATCCTTGTGGCTCAGCCACTGATCTGCAAACTCCATGGCCAGCTGCAACTGCCGAGAAATTCCCACTTCTAATGGAATCCGAATGGGATATAGCATCAACCATAGCCATCCCACAAACAAGAAATGATACAACTATCTGGAGATTACTAGCCATCTTAGCTCCTTAGCTGGTGTGAGTTTCTAGACTTATCACAGTTCTAGTATTTGTGCACACTTTATACCACACGATTTCCATATACGAACAAAAAGGAGAATTCCATTTACAAAACTACAACTCCCCATTATTCCAAATAACATCTTCTTAGCCACCAAACATTCCTCAATTACTTGTAAATGGGATGCACTATCGTCAAGTGGTTGTCTGGGGAAAGTCACGGACAAATTATGCTTTTCAGGCGGTGGAAAACATGCATACAGCCAAAGCTCTACGTTCTAAATTCTAATTGTGTTCTATTTTGTCTCGCATCATATGAACAAAGAAGACCATACCTCTCCAAATTCCAATGAGATGCCTTCTCAGTTTCACCGATTGCTCTTGTCAAATAGCTCGGGGAACCATTGAACCCACCATAAGCTGGAGGCCAAATGGAAGTAGAAATCATGTCTTTTCAACCCGTTCACCTTTCCACTTCAAGCTGTTGTTTTCTATGAGACTAATGCATTCCCCTCCAACATTAAGCATGAAACATGTTTAAAAAGCACGTGCCTTGTTCATGGTCAAGTTGCTGCAATATTGTCTACGAGACAACAAAAACAAGTTTCATCATGTATTCATGGTAGATTCTAAGGATGCTTCGCTCAACACTTTGTTCTTCACATAAGGGTTCTTAATAACATTCAGAAAACATATATTCCATAAAAGAGTTTTAGCCAATAGCAGAAATAGAAGGAGCATGGGGAAACAATGGCTAAGCTATATATTGCTTTGGAAAACTTGGGCAGTACAGCAGATGATCTACACAATGCCTGCAATTTTCATCCTACTACTGGACAATGGAGCGACAGAGTAGCTGTTTCTTACAAACTAGCAAGATCGATGGGGTTTACAAGAACCCTGTGACACCGATGGTACATCCTTCAGGGCCTTTTGTCATGTGGTTTAGTTGCCATGTCTGAACTTCTGGATCTCGATAGTCCTCTTCTCAAGGCTTGCAATCCCAATCCTCTCGATTTGATCTTCCCCATTAACTCCCATTTCCGAGGAGTTATCTGGCCCATCAACTTCATCTGCTCCTGCCTGAACTTCCTATTTGCATACCATCTTCCACCTCTCCAACCAAACCCGTACCTACCAGTTTCAGCAATTATGCAGTAAAAATGAGACTCAGACAGCAACAGAGAAAAAAACAATACTGGAGCCACCACTCCAAAGCATTAGTTACACAACTATAACACCATCTTCCTCCTGCTAAAGGCATATGAAAAGTCGGTGAATACTATCAAATAGTCATATTCTTCTACAAAGATTGAATTGCTCCTGGAGTTTAAACCTCTATTCAGCACCAAAATAAACTTTTTCTACAGTACATAGTCTCTACACCATTTTGACCATTTTCCATTTTTTCCAAGATAAGAAAGTAGTGCAATCATAGTCCTTGCCGTTTTCAACAAGCATGATGAGGTCTTTTGAGTTATCAGAAAACAAAAGTAATCACAGAGGTAGTAATGAAGTCTTAGGTACAAACCCTAAAACAAAAGTAGTCCCAATTGTGGCAATATACGTAGCATAACGAGAACTTCCTGGATCGACAAGCTTCTTAAGCTCAGCATGTTCAAGAGTCTGGTTGTTTTGCATCTACAGCACACCAGGAATGCATTATATCAGGTTATTATAACCTATGAAGGGCAAACAAAGGAAGCACCCTATGTCTTAAAACTGTTATGGGGTACCAAAACTCACAGCTTTCTCAATTGATTCAAGCCTTTGCTCAACTTTGGATTCATGGAGGTGACGGAGTGTATATCCTGCATAGCAAATTGACCATAACAAAATCCTTATTTGCAAGATTCAAAGTAATTACTACACACTGCAACTGACTCCGCTGGGAGCTAGAAAGACCAGATTGAAAAAAACTTACCAATCCATGCTGTGGCAACTGAGGCCACAGATGTCCCGATTGTAAAGACAACCCTATGCCTCTCAAATGTGTCCTAACGCAATGATAACACCCAAAAATTAAACCCTCGAGAAAACCCACAAAATGAAATTGGCGTATCCCACAAGAAATTAACAGGCGACTATGTCCGAAGAACCGTAGAACAGCGAAAGATGGAAGCTTTCTTCTTTTTCTACCTTGGTAGAGAGGTAAGTGTCCTGAACGGCGGCGAATGAATTGAGGGCTTTCTTCTTCAAATGGGGCAGCTGCATCGAACCAAACAGCGCTCTGCTCCTTAGCCTCTGCATTTTCGCATATCAATTTCCGTTGCGTTGGGTTTCAGGAGCGGCGGAAACCTTCGATTTTGCCACTCAGGAAGGAACTCTTCCGATTGACTCCGTTCCGCCTATTTCTTGGCTTAAACCTCAAGCAGCACTTTTTAAAACCCGGTCGTGCGCCCTCCGTTGATTTCTTGATTTTTCTTTTATGATGCTATTTTGTTCAATCAGCGACAGGTGATTTATGGGCCGTTGATGATGGCTTGATGAGTTGATGTTGTGCAGAAGAAGAAACAGATCTCCCCGCCGGCCAGATTGTTTCGGACTCGGACTTGAACCAATCCCTTGGATTTTTTCAATAATAACACCATTTATTAATTAATTACAAAAATAGCACTCAGCCCACAGAAATTACAAAAATAGCATCATTATTTTAAAACCATACCTCCTTAGTCTGTTATGGATGACACACATGTGTGTGTTCACCGCACGGGATATGAACCAATGGTCGTGTCTCTTACTGTTGATGGGCCGAATCCTAGCATTGCATACTCGTGTTGATTACGGCATCTGACTATGAGCCTCTTCGTGTTGGAATGAGTTGTGTGTCATTCAAAATGCCGAGTCATTGCTTCAGTATCAATGGCGTGCCGCACCTCCTTCTTCGAGCCAAATTGTTGGCCCTTCGTAAACCCAGTGAGTGGACCCCATACCGGGACCTCTGGAGGCTCCATGTCGCTGTCGACACACCAATTGTCGTCTGGAATGTGATTGTAGTAGGGGACTGGTATACGGTCACGAGCCACCTCATCATCATCATCATCTGAGTCTGAATCTTGTCTTGGATCATCAGCACCTTCAAGAGGGTCGGAGCTGTCTGCACTGACGTTGTTCTCTCCTTCTTCATCGGAGGGGTCGCTAACTAGTGTTGGCAGGGCATCTTCCATCTGATCCAGATCATGAAAGGCACCTTCATCAGCTCCATAATGGTAGTTGTGAAAACTACCGCTGCCTGATTGGAAGTTGTACTCGGGTTGGTTGACATGGTCCGGTTGAACTTCTTCTTCATATGATGGGAAAGATTGATGATGACCTTCACCTTGCTCTTGGTACTGAAAGTATGAATGAGGATCATGTTAACTTTAGTAGGGATGATCTCCATATAATTCACCTCCACCATGGATACCAGATGTTTGACTGTCTCCAGAATGACCTCCAATGCCTACGACCGCCTCGGTGTAAACGAAAATCTCGGCTTTGGAAAGAGTATTGGACCTCAAGAATTCGAGCATGGCATCTACTTCATCTTGAGTGATTATGAGATATTCCTCATGCCACAACGACCTGCATTCTCTGTTTGGATATCAGTACATCATACGATCAACTCTTCTCGTGCCATCCATGCAAGTAACGTTAGTACACATTTGATAGAGGTCTTCAAGCAACGGTCTGGTAGCGACCTTCATTTTCTGAAAATTGCCACCGACGTAGGTGACCCCCTTTCCGGTCTCTTCCGTGTAACCATTCCACCGTAACCCAAGTGTGAACTTTTGGAATGTCATCTGCAAAAAAACCGTAGTTCAGTTAATATCATAAAAATCACAATAAAAGTAATACAAAATAAACTTACTAGTTAAAGTTAATCACAAAAACAATAAAGAAATAGAGAACTACAACAGAAAATTGAAAAGGGAGAAGGAGAGGTGTGAAGAGAAGAGGTTTCTCGGGCTGCCTTTTATAGGCAAAATCTTCACTGAAAACCGCATGGGGAGGGTGCGGTTTTCATCTGCCATGCAGCCCCACGTCTGTCAATGGTGGATGTCGGGAAAATAGGGACGACACACAAACCGGGGGGTGCGGTTTGTGGGTCGGCAAGGGCAAAACCGCATGTTGAGGGTGCGGTTTGTGTTGGAGAAACAGAATCGCATCCTCAACGTGCGGTTTTGCTAGGTCAGCCAAAGAACCGCATGGCCTAGGTGCGGTTCTGTTAGGTCAGACACATAACTGCATGGCCAAGATGCGTTTTTGGCTCAGAACCTCAAACCGCTCTCTCAGGATGCGTTTTACATGTAAACCGCACCTTGGACGTGCGGTTCACATGTAAGGTGCGGTTTTAAAATAAAGGTGCTATTTTTGGAATTTCTGTGGGCTAGGTGCTATTTTTGTAATTTTTTTAATGGTGCTATTTCTAGAAAAATCCCTTTTTCCTCCTAATATATAACTAAGATTAAAATATCACAATCTATTTATTTTTTGAGTGATATATTGAAGCTTTTAAATGGGGCATCGCTATTCGTCGCCATAACTACGATAAATTTACTCTAATAATCTTAATTCATTTATCTATCTTTCAATCACTTAAACTCAAAAGTCAAAACAAACTCATATCGTCCCTAATTTCCCAGTTCCGCCGGCGCCATGATTTCAAGCTCCGGCGACGACGAGAATTCCCTCACCGCAACTTGGCTCCATTCTGCATCCAGAAATCCCCAACTAATATAATATAATAAACTCAATGGAGGCAAGTTGCCTTGTCATTTCCCTCTAAACACCATCAGCCTCAACCTCTAATCATCGTTGTCATCGTCAAGGCTAAACAACTGGGAACAACCAGCAACGGTTCCTTCCTTGGAGAAGCCCATGACGTTCGCGTACCTTTCCCTAGACGTAATACCATTGTTCTCCGTCAAGATCACGTGAGCCTGATCCCGCCCCGAAGACGTCTTGTAGCAGTCTAGCTGCGGGCTCCAAACAACTTTAGCATCGCACACTTGGTCCTGGTGGTCTTCCTCCAAGACGAACCAGAGATAAGAATCATGCAACGGCTGGTCAGAGAACAGAGGACCTCGGAGATGGCTGGGCAGGGGAAAGGAGATTTTTTGTTTAAGGTTTAGGGTGAAATTGGGACTAGGGGTAATAGTGTCAATTTAGTGCATTTTAGGGCGATGAAATTTAAATTTTAGGGGCGGCAAATAGCGATTCAGTTTAAATTTTAGGGTAATGTCTATTTTTGGGTAAATTGCAAGGTTAGTCACTAAGATTACGAGAAATTTTCACCTTTGGTCACTAAAAATATTTTAATTTCATTCGTGGTCACTAAAATATTTAAATATTTCACGTTTGGTCATTCTCAATCCAACTCCGTTAACTTTTGCTGACATGGCAGTCAACTCTAAGAGTTGACAGTTAAATGTGTGACATGGCAGTTAAAAATAATCAAACAAATAAAATTTAATTTTTAATTTTTCCAACTCACCTTCAGAAGGAGAATCACCGTCCCCGAGGAATCGACTGCTCATTCAGGTATACGGTGGGAGGCTCGGATTCCGCAGGAGAATGCTTTGTACAAGCGTTCTCTTCCCGGAGCCACCTCCCGCCGAAAATCGGCCATGCTCCCGGAAATGAGGTGGAAACATTGGGAAGCTGCATCGGCTAGCGGTTTTGTTAGTAATGTTAACTTCAGATTCCTTTATATTAGCCAAAACTATTGAAATATTAAGAATTAGCCAAATGTTAACTTCCAGTTAGCAATTTTGTTAGTAATATTGACTTTGCAACATGATACTGACTTGGAAGAGACACGTGAAAGTCAACATTCCAAAATTTTAATATTTTCACTAAGAAAAGAGTTACAAAATTATTAACGATAACAGTAAAAATAGCTAATATTTTGATGCATTATGAAAGATTTTACTAATTAATAGCATTTTAATAGGTTTGGAATATAAAAGAATCTGAAAAAGGTTTGGATAAAAAATAGACATTACCCTAAATTAAGCCCTAAAATTGATTAGTAGTGGTTGAAGGTTAGTAAGCCCTTAACTATGTACGGGATTAAGTCCTTAACTAAGTCACTCGTACCTCTTAGTATTGATGTTGATCCAATGGGTGAGAATGAGATTGAAGTTTTTTTTCACTTAGTATATAATGGGGTTGAGTCTGTAAGGGATATTCTTGTAGCGTGTTTTTTTTTTATTTGAAGGAGGCTAACCGCCAAACAGTTACAAACTCCTAAGGGATAGGAGCATAAAACAGGACAGACCAAAACAGAACTAAAACAGGGGATCGAATAGAAATTACAGGGGAACACAAGCTAATTAGCTTTGGTTCTAGTAACTTGTCTAGGAAGCTTACTCCTATCATGTCTTCTCTGCAAATTCTGTCAAGCTCCAATGGGGGATCAATTAGCTCATACGTACCGCAGGGATAGATGAGACTGTGCTTCGAGAGCCTGTCCACGACTCTATTCCCTTCGCGATATGTATGCACCAATCGAACCACCCATTCTTTGGTCGACATTCGTCTGATAGTGCCAAGGATTGTTGCATACGAATGCACTCTGTCGTTTCTTGTACCAGATCCAAGCTTGCTGCAGAATCCTCAAATCCAATCTCCATCATGATCTCGGAGTACTCCCCCTGCCGTAACCATTCCTGGGTTGCTCTGTGTTGTGCCATCTGTATTCAGTTTGTGCCAGCCTTGAGGGGGTTTTATCCAACTAATTAGCTCTTCCACTCTTGTCTGATTCACATTCATTGAGGAAGACTTCGGAGCTGAGTTCCAAACTTTCACCCACTCTGAAGCCTTAGCCACCACATAGTGATGTAGAGTGGAGATAGTCAGTTTCACCCCTTTAAAAATCCTCTCGTTCATGCACTTCCAAAGGTACCAAAGGATTAGGCTGAAGAAACTGTTCCATTGGCCAGGCCAATTTCCAGTTGATTCATTTAGAATGTTGGTCTTCATCCAGGTATCAAGATCGTTGTTGAAGAATTTCCCTCTTCCTTGTTGTTCCAAAATCCTGTTCCACAGAGCCTTGGCACTATCAGACGAGACTGTGCTTCGAGAGCCTGTCCACGACTCTATTCCCTTCGCGATATGTATGCACCAATCGAACCACCCATTCTTTGGTCAACATTCGTCTGATAGTGCCAAGGATTGTTGCATACGAATGCACACTGTCGTTTCTTGTACCAGATCCAAGCTTGCTGCAGAATCCTCCAATCCAAACTCCATCATGATCTCGGAGTACTCCCCCTGCCGTAACCATTCCTGGGTTGCTCTGTGTTGTCCCATCTGTATTCAGTTTGTGCCAGCCTTGAGGGGGTTTTATCCAACTAATTAGCTCTTCCACTCTTGTCTGATTCACATTCATTGAGGAAGACTTCGGAGCTGAGTTCCAAACTTTCACCCACTCTGAAGCCTTAGCCA